CTTCACCGGCCTAACTATTACCATTCAGAAACTTTTTTCCTAATGTCTGAATGGATGAAGCCCGACACAACCTGGATCAACTTATTCACTCTTTCGATGCTTTCACTTTTTCGTGTAATTATTTCAGCCTATATGAAGATCCTCCAGATAAGCTGAAATAATTACAAGAAAGGGTGAAATTATTATATTTATCAATTCATCAGCATTAGCAACAACAAAACAAACAGGACCAGACGAAAGGTCCTTCAAACAAGTGTGCAGCTATGTAAGAAGGTGTAAATCAAAACGACTGAATGTTAAGCCGACTACCTAGGTTATGTTTTTAAGCTTCAGGACTTGACTACTACCACTGATTGCTGGAATTTTAAAAGAATGGGCAGAGCAGTGATAAAATAATAACTCAGTGCCAATAGAAATGGCGCTGTAGAAAAGCCGCCATCGAGTAGAGCGCTGTGATGTTGGTTAAGATGTGATGTCCACTAAGGGCCAACACCCTGCCTTGGTCACTAAACTTTGGATCACTTTTTGTGAAAACAACCCTAGGCATAGTATGTTCTTTTTTGTTTGGTGATTCCATTTCCACGCTAATTGACACGGAGTATTGTGTAGTCTGATTCAAACTGAGCTTTGTTCTTCGGAAATTATGTTCATCGGAAACTCATCAGTAATTGTTGAACAATTCGGGAATGGTAGACAACCGTGACATAACTGTAACTGCAGTGGTTACCTTCTGCAAATTATCTCCTCGAAAAGAGTTAGATTGGTTATCCTCTCTATTGTGAATACTAACCACTTTGGGCAATAGCTGTAATTTTAGGAGCATGGAGGAACTTAAAAAGCTACACATAGATTGTGAGAACGTTGACCAGGCAATAAATCCCTTCCAACAATTCGCTGACTGTCCTACGGTGAGTGCTTATACTTTACACTGGCAACAAAAAAGAGAAGGGATACATGTTTCTTTGTAAAAGTAGCCATGCATTTTTTTTAGCGTATCGGCTATGAGTCCCACAACTGTTCATAGAAAAAAAAANAAAAAAAAACGCTGAAGTTTCAATCGTCTTTCTTTCGTCAATAATCTATTCCGAGCTTTTGTTTTGCTGCGTAAATAGTAAGGAAAAGTCGGTGGACATTACAACAACAAGCGATTTTCCCATCTGGACGCAATGAAAAACGGGCCACGTGTGTTGAATTGAAGAAGGTTAGAGTGGGTTGCTTGGTACGGAAATTTTTTCCGAAAAAGATCTATATCTGTGCGGAGCAAGGACAGCTGCGGTTAACAAAGAATGACATAAGAAGATTGTGAACGGAGCAATGGTCAATTTAGGGAGACGTGAAAAAGTCAGCACATTACTTCTCAAATACTGGCAGGTAACTTCTTGGAAGATCGTTCCAACGAATAACGTGCTGAAGAAGTCCTCTACTACAGAAGATCGATGCCTTAATAGGTAAGCTTTACTAACCCTTGGTTTATACGAAATTATGTTTATCGAATCGGTAGAGGCATAGCTATTCATCAGCTACGAGACCGAAATGGGAATCTCGGAAATATATTGTGAGCTCAAAGGAGTTTCTATCCTATGGATTAGTGGTGTTGTCCAAATACGAGTGTTGTGACGCAAAAATACTGCATGATTAATATCAAAATACAAGTAAAAGCAGATTGAAACATGCCTTTCAGACTTCTTTGTTGCGATCTGCAGATTTATGCTCACTTTGAAACTTTTCGTTTTTTCATTGGCAACCAACAACCTGATGCACTCATGAATATCAACGTACAGGTATTCTTTCCAGTCCAATCACTACAACTGTAACTTTCACGGCTCGGAAAAATGCAATTTAAACATGACAATCCATTTTTTTCTGATGGTTCTGAGCTACCATGTACGACATGTGGTAAGTTATCTGTTAAAAAGGAAATGAAAAGATTACATTTTGATGTTGAACACGACATTTACGATTGGCAAACGGTAATCTTCAAAAGTTGTACTCTTTGGCTTCCCAGGGCAATTGCACAACCTCGTTCCCGCCCAGTTCTCCTCCAGTACAGAGAGGAGAACCGGGCGGGAACGAGGTTGTGCGAATTGCCCCGGAATGGAGTGGCCATTCAATTTCTCTTAGCGATCACCATCTCAAAAAAAATTACAAGGACTTGTAGGTTGAGAACGAAACGGTCAGTCTGAGTGCTCTATCACAATTTGTCTTCTTTCCCTTATAGGAGATTCTCTTTAGCGCCTACAATTTATGTTGTAACAAGTGCATAATTTCAATGAGCGATCGTGGGAGCAGTTTTTGTCTATCCTAAACAGATATAGCGTACAGCAAAAACAATAATTACGATTCAACTGCGCTCACTATTATGGAATTCAGGAACCGGAAATCCCATTTTTCTTTTCCACTGATAACACATAGTTTGTGCTACTAGAATTCCACGACTAGCTTCCACAATTGCGCCCGCTTAAATCTGCTGACGAGATAGCCTAAATAGGTATCTGAGATGAGGATTAATAATGGCCTTGTGCCGTGCGGGATTTTTGTGTGGAACAAGTATTTGATTTGAAAGGTTGATCTTTCGAGACAGTGGTCCTCTTCGGAAACCTAAATACAGCGCGAGATGGTTTGCGCGTTATCCAGCGAGTGTCCGATTCTCTCTAAAGGTTCCACCGCTCAAGAGGACAAATCCGCAGTCTCATTCGCTACAGTCGGCTGCCAGTAGCGAATGAGAATTCTTGCTGCTCCTCTTAAGTAAGATAAGGAAGATCACACAAGCTTAGTCACAACTCGCAGTGCGGCTATACGGCAAACCTTGTTGAGTCACTTTTCGGACTAAAGTTCCGAATTTATTGTCACCTTTGCTAGGGGGGAATGGGGCACTTGTTAGACAAGGCTCAACTCAACTCGAGTTAGTTTAGACCGTTGAAGAAGACGATTGCGCTGGGCTTCTGAACTAATGAATTATTAATGATAGCTCTAGATTTCCGGATCACCGAAGAATGCTGTATCAGAGAATGTTCTGGAACTCTTACATGATTGCCGTAAGCTTTCGCACTTTTGACACCGATGGTGTCTGGTTTTTCGGCGATCGAGTGCATTGCTCCTTCCTGCAGTGCTTCGTTTGCTTTACAACCTCATTTCGCTCTAGAGCATTCACATCGGGTAATATTGACCCCTTGTGCCCTCTCATAAATTACACCGTATTCATCTGCTGTGTTGTGCATCCAATGCTGACAAGATGACTCACATCTATGAGCTTGTGGAGTTCCGGGAGGCGGTGCCTAACAGAGCTTTACACCTCTCACGGAGATACTGGCCGCTATCACCCTGGACGCTGTCCTTTCCCTCGTTTTATCGCCCTTTACCTTCTTCTTCGGTTCTGCCCCTCTGCCCTACCTACTCTGCTCTATAGCCATAAACTAATTCACTGATATATTAGAGAATTTGGGTTTCCTCGTCAGGAACACACTCCCGAAGTGTTGGTCGATCTCTAACTAACTAACTAACTAATTTGTACTTTGGCAAGGTTTTGTTCCCTTTCTCAAACATTTGGACTTTCTTTCAAGTATTTGTTGCAGTGTTATCTTTCGGGTGTTTAATATGAGAATTGTGATCATATGGGAAGCTCAGGCGCTCTTGATTAGAGTAAAAGTTTCTATACAGAAGCTATTCACTGAAAAGTCTATCTGGAAACAACTGCTACCGAATGAGAGTGCTATGAAAGTTGCTATATTTCTTTAACACTCTCAAAAAGAGGAACAAAAAAGGTGTTATGTAACTCACTTCGCGAAAACTTTATATTAAATAACTCAGACGTACACATATACCAGGTCTCTGGACAAAAGTAAACTATCATGTTTGGACATAACAGTTGCACAATTCCACAAACTTTTTTGGAATCTCCATGTACTTAATGTGGTCATAAAAGAATGCCTACGTACGTGCCCGACCAACGAGCTGTTGCCAACCTATTCGAGCTCTTTCGGAAAAGATGAAAAGAAAGGTAGCACCAGGGAGTGGTTTAGTGAGAGAGCATAGGGGGGATGGCCAAATGGTAACAAAAACTATGACTTCCATTTTTTTCAGCTTGAAGGCACCAATCTCATAGTAATTTACTTTCGTGTAGCTTTTCGCGCTCTTTCAAGGTTGGTGTCAATCCAATAAATTGTTTCAAGTGAACTCTCAGTTTCCAAGCGTTACATGTAGGAAAAACCAGGGATGTCCAAGGAAACGAAAATCGTCCTCTGCGTAGTGGTCACCACCACTATCAAAGCCCCTTCTTATCACTCTGACCTTTATGGTTTTTCGTTATGGCATCCAAAGAAGTTACCATGCCACCACTGTCACATATCGCAGACGTTCTATTTCAGAGCTAAGCGGCTTGCGAACATTTACCTTCTTAGAACGGCTCTGGAAATATTTTTTGCAGCAACATTTTTCAAACTTTCCACAGACTCTTGAATGGTGCCCAATATACCTTTGAGTGGAACGCTGTTTCACTACCTCTTATCACCACATGAGCATTTGCCTACAAGATTCTTGACATGGACATCTTTTCACTCTTTATCTGCTGAGAAAAGCTCTGAGGGTTACATTACAATTCCTCTATTAGAAAAAGACCTATTGCCTGCAATCCCATAAAAGTGATCTTGATTGGTATCATTGAATATCCGTTCATTTTTGCAATTTTAGCCAATTTACGTCAAAAGGCGCTCATTCTCTCCAACACTACTCGATTTTTGTCTCCTTTACGACAGATCCCTTTCACATAACCGGATACAGTGATGTCTTGATGAATTGAGTTGAACATACTGGTCATATTTGCAGAGGGATTCACTTTGGGGTAAAATGAAAGCGCTGCTGCAACTAGTAGCGCTTTTTCACGCTCTCGATGCATTATCGTTGTCGTTCCTGTCCAATGTGGAGGTGAGTGTTGAGGTGAGAAGTGTCAATTACAAACTCGTTTTAAAATATACTTACAGCCCACGTTACCACACCTACATCCATTGTCACCACCCGAAACGAATCCCGCTGGGGCCAGGGCCAAACGCCAAGCCTACCAGGTTAGTGCTGCCTCGGTGATTTGAGTATGAATTTTATGTGGATTCTTCATAGCGTCTCATGATCGATTTTTCCCAATACTAGAATTCTCGATAGCCTTTTTACAGGTCTATGTTGATGGCGATTCTTCTGTGAGTCTCGACAAGACAGGGCAAAGCGAGTCTGGCCCTTGGGGACCGTGGGTTCCAGAACAATGCTCGCGAACGTGTGGGGGAGGTGTTCAAACAGAGAAACGGCAGTGCCCGTGAGTACTTTCACTGTAACCGTCGATCAACCGGTAGACATATCAGATGAGTGCACTAACGCGCATCGTTAACCAGTTGTTTTGAGACGCGACACCCCGACATTCTACTACCATTTATAGTTGTGGTAGGATTCATGCGTATACAGTGCAAACACCTCAAGCGCGCAGAGGCCACGGATGTGTAACTACGCTTTATCGGTTCAAAAAACCTCATAGGGTGCGAATATCACCTAAGTTTGATCTCTCGTATTGAGTGTCAAAGATAACTCAGTTAAAAAAAAAGTTCAAAAAAAGTTAAGTTAAAAAACTAAAAATACATAAGTTGTAAAAGAAAGCCTAGCAAGTGTTTTGAATTGCTTCCTCCTCAGCGCCTGTGGTGGTTTCCTAGATGAACAAGTCAAGTAGAAAACCTAACAAGGATGGTTAGCTGTGGGCAAAACTTTAGCCTTGGACGGGGCTTGACTCGCCTTTCTCGTGGCTTTAGCATCACCTTTGTAGTCTCAGTTGTCGGAGCTCTCGAATCCATGCTTTGAGGGCTGCTCGAAGGCGTGAAATCTGTCATGTTTTTTTTTTTGAAAGTAACTATCTAATAGCAAAACTTCTGTCGCTTGTTGATGGAAGTACAAATTATTTGATTACGCCACAACACTTTTTGAACCCTGCTGAATTGTCGTTATACGCGTCTTGGGGGCATTCGTGCTAATCGTAAACATCTTTTCTAATGTTTATGGATAGAGACGACTCCCATCTTGGACGTCCATCATCAACGCTCACAGATGGATGCACATCTGTTGAAGATGCTTACATCATCGAAAGTCGTCACAAGTAGAACAGAGATGGCCTGCAATGAGAATATACAGGCCATTACGCTGATGCTTTGGGATTAATTGTGTTGCCACAATGAATTTGCAATATGATGACTGATTGTTATTTTTAGTGGCGATTGTACGGGCCCATCAGTTCGATACGTTTCATGCAACTTGGAACCGTGTCCAGAGGGCACTGATTTTCGTGCCGAACAATGTGCAGCTCACAATGACGATCCAATCGACGGCCAATATCATAAATGGATACCATATAAAGGCAAAAACAAGTGAGTATGTCAAGAAAACCTTAACACTGTAGTGGTTCAGTCATCTAACAGCGCTTGTGCTCTTTTTGATGGTTTGGTGGGGTGGTGGTTACGTCACACTTCTCACATTTCTTCTTCGAGTGGTTATCTTAGCTGATCAGATGTCTGCTGCGTTTCTGGTTCTTGCATCTGGCGCAGGACATCATTGCTCATTCAAACTCTTATCTTACAACTACAAGCATATCAGAAAAAAACGCGAATTCGAATCAAATAACAGTCATAGACAACGGAAGAAGACATGGCGTAGCCAAAAATGATTTTGTTTCAGATGCGAACTCCTGTGCAAACCCGAAAATGGTAATTTCTATTACAAATGGGACGACACCGTCGTTGACGGAACCAAGTGCGATTCCAAGGGCGACGATATCTGCGTTGACGGCGTCTGCTTGCCACTTGGGTGTGACGGGAAACTCGGATCAGGTGTGAATTTCAAGTTGTCACAGAAAGCTACTTATCTGCTCAACACAGTTTTATGCCCTTTCGTCACACTGCTTCTCACAATCAGTATGCTGGTAAAAGTCTCAGAAAATCAACCAGAAACGAGGCATCATAGTCTGGTAATTCTAAAGCCTTCTATTGATATGTTATACTACATATTCAGCCTTGAAATTGGATAAATGTGGAGTGTGTGATGGCGACGGGTCACAATGTAAAACGATCGAAGGCTCCTTCGACGAAAGAAACCTCTCGCCAGGTTATCACGATGTAATGCGAATTCCAGCAGGAGCCACAGCCATTAGAATAGAGGAGGCCCGCCCAAGCTCGAACAACTTAGGTTTGCCTTGTATTCACCTTCTTGGAATTTGTGCTTTTCGAAATTGGAGAGCTTCTGATTTGTGCGAGTATCATAAGTAGTGTCTCGTGACATATACTTGCTTCAGCCATGAAAAACTCGTCAGACTACTATTTCTTGAACGGGAATTCTATGATACAAGTGGAGAAGGATGTCGAGTTGAATGGCGTCCATTTCGAGTATGATGACGGAAAGCCGGAGAGAATCACTGCGAAAGGACCACTAGAGGAGGTTAGAGATCATGCTTCGGCAATGATTCATTTTTTTATAAAAAGCAGCTTCGGCTCTCCCATAGCCTGAAGAAGTGACAACTTTCTCAAGGAAGTGAAGAGTCAAACGAGTCTGTCCATCCTTCTTAGTGTATGCGGCGGTATTTGAAGAGGCATCAGATATGATGTATTTCCTAAAAAGATTTTTAAAATATCAATAGGGAAACCCGATAAGTTGCCTAGGTTCAGGGATCCTTAGAAGTTACTCAGTACACTTGTTTATATTGGAGTGAACTTCAGAGTAGCTTTTCGGAGCATTTTTAGGTACAGTCTACTAACATTTACACGCCTGGGTGCTTCCTTCAGAGTAAAGGTTCGGGCGTCATGAGACCAAATTTGCTGAGAATTCGGTGACTGTATTTTTGAATGAACTGATTCTTAACTTTCCGCTGCCGTTGATTCAGTGCTTGTATAGTTTCAATTGACCCCATACAACTTCAACTGTGCAGTACTTAAGATTGTGTTGTCTGTTTGGTAAGTAGATGATGAGGACAAACCGCAAAGACTTTCACTACTATTTTGCTTCATTCCCTCCGTTTACACTCGAATATCTAAATACTGTTGACAAGCGGTCAAGAAGTCAATGACTAAGCTTCAGACCTTACCTGACCATTCAATTTCTTGTGCAGATTGTNTGTTTTGAAAGGGGTTCCATAATAGAATCTTCGCGACCATTCTCTACTGAATGCCCAACCCTTTGGAGACCGCTAACCTCTGCATTCTATTCATTCGAGTGGGTTAATGGTTTAGGCTGATATATAGAGTGCCTTACTGTACCTGGGGAAATTTCTTGTGCTAGAATGGAGAATTCCTGCCTGAGCTCTCGAATGAAATAATTGCTGCTTCCTAGTAGGTCAAGGATGAATTGTTCTCCTGTTCATCCCTTAATCCGTTGGCGACCGCGCCTTTTAAGCATGTCTGGCGCATGGGTCCAAGCTCGCTTATCGCGGGCTGTTGCTAAACGTACGTGCTACGTTGTGGATGACCTATCACGTCTTCTGTGGCATTTCAATGAAACCTGACCTCCCAGAATGGGTGCGTAAAACAACATCCACTGTTACTTTTTTAAGGTCTACAGAAATCAGGGAACTGCTCAACTCATTTCTGAAACTTAATGGCTTGTGGGATCCAGACGCAACAAAATATCATGAAACGTTGTCTAAACACGAGGGGTGAATTTTGTCCTGAAATCTGTAATTTTTTGGTTAAAGGCAGACAGCATAGTTGAGCTTAACCTAAGAACCTCTAGGTCAAGTGTTTTCGACTAGCCTTCCTCTCTAAAAATTATCTACAAATTGCAATGAAAGTCCGAAAGAGAGCTGGAGAAGATGGTTGGTTGCATTGGTTGCTACAAGAAATATACGAGAAAAAGGATAGTGCTTATATGTCATCCCAAAAGGGTCTCATCAAAGCGCTCCAAGTGCCACAAAACTTTTGTTCCGAGTAATTTTTCCAAACTACTACACGTAGTAGAATGATTGTCCACTTGATGACGCTTGATTTCGCTCCTTTTAATATTATCCTTACACAAACTTTTGCTTCTCTCATAACTAGTTGGGAGTGAATGATACTTGGACTACAGCGCCTCAAGATTCCCTAGCCTAGCTGAAAATTGAAAGCGTCAAAAATTATAAAAATGAATAATAGTGAACCTTGGTCCGCCGACGGGCCACGCGGTCGTAATGGGTTAAATCATCGCTATTTCTGTGCGACATATCTGAAAAAAAAGTTGCTTCATCTGAAACTTCTGAGATATCGTTCATTAGCGATTGGTGAGAAGCCCAAACCTAGGATTTGACGATTCTCACCAGAATACGCCCGTAATATCTTATATGCCACTGTAACGGTTCATTCATTTCATTACTTCACAAAAAAACAGCTGCAGTGGTTTCTGCGTTAGATAAAATTGAAAGATTGTACTTCTTGGATGTTAACCTCGAGTTTTTATGTATGTGATTTAGGAAGTCGTTGTATCCGTGCTGATTCGCAAGGGAAACAGAGACGTTTCAATCAAGTACGAGTTTTCCGTTCCAATATTCGATGAAGTTGACTATATGTACAAGCCGGGAGAGTGGTCAGCATGTTCAGTCACTTGTGGGAAAGGTGAGATTGTACTATAAATATTATGTATAAGATATACTCGCAGTAACCGATGTGCCTCGTTGAATCCTCTTTTCGATGCATTACCTCGTACGCGAATGAATTTAGAGAGAGTTTCAGATTTGTTTGGCAGTTTTTTTTATTAAACTTGAAACCTATTTGATCGATTGTCAATGCCTTTTCTAGGCTGAGTCTAAAGGAACTAACCTACATCTACTCTGTTTGTAATTTCCATGCTTTTATTTTGCTTTCTTTCATAGGCCCCTTCTCATCCTTCTCATTTTCGGAGGAACCGTACCATTATTTGAATTACTCGAGCTCAGCTGTTAATCTGGAGCAGAAATTGCTCAAAACAAAAAACCGAGGACACCATTCGTTCTGCTTCACAAAAAGCTTTGTTGGCTACCCCGTGGGGCCAACAAATACACCCATATCCCGGCATGTCTTTGATTTAATGACTGTTCTTCCATTTGTAACGCAAACCTCGGTTAGCCTAGGAAATTGAAGCACGCGCCATTTCGCGCGTAGCACAACTCCTACCCATCTGACCCTCCTACTCCTACCCAACTTTTGGAAAAATCTCCATTGTGCAGCACTTAATCTTGATGCGCTTTATATAGGAGTATTCAGGAGGTTTGATTTAAATCACGGTGAACATTATCAGATGTTTCTTACCCAACTTATAGTGCTAATAGGTTTTGAGTGGAGTTTGGTCATGAAACCCAATGACTCACCGTACCACAATGGAAGTCGTGGGCATTTCAACGGCTTTGATTCGTGTGAATCTATCCGTCAGAAAAAAATGTGCAGTGTCTGCGTTGGTCCAGCACTTCTGAGTTTGGGGATTCAGCCACTAATAGGGTTGAGCTCGAGTCAGTGTACCGATTTTCGCCAAAATATGGTTGCAGGGAAAATTTTGATAGCTACTGCTAACTTGGCACTTCTGCAACCGAAAAATAGTTTTTTTTTTGAGAGAATTATATATCCTCCTGTCCTTTCGTTCGTTTGTCCATTCGTCTTTTTTCAAGGGTGAAATGAAAAACATTCTCAAGAGTCGCTACAAATACTATATTAAAATCAATCCTCTTGACTACTATTCTGAAGAGTTCTCACGCTCATTCTCTTCGAAGTGCTTCCAGTTTCCTGGTATCTAGTTCAAAAGGTTTCATTGCAACCACATTCATATGTCCCTTTTTGAAAGAAGTGGTCTTCAATCAGTGTGATTTGGCTAGTGCCTTTCTTTCAGGAGCTCATTGAATTGAATTGGGTAGTCATAGTGGAACATTACTCTGATTTCACATCTAAGAACTCAGGCCATGATTCTATGTAAAGGCGTGCAACAATCGCCTAAGAATGGCCGAAAATTCTTCGCTCCTAGCCCCTCCCTCTCTACTTCACAGTTTGAGCTTCATCTTCGAAGTTAGCTCGAAACAAGGAGGTTTACCTCCATTCACTACAGTCCTTGAGAGACATCTTGTTTGATTGCGTCGTGTTCATGGTATTTAAATGTTTCACATTACACTTGGGAATCAGGAAAATTTGTAGGTTATGCCAATCTTTGCTCGGAAGTGTTCCTCCTCCACAGAATTCTTTTCTGCAACGTCAAGGAAGATTGATTCAAAGAACATGTACTTGAACTAAGCGTTCATGATTTCGTGGTTGAGATTGCTCGAGAAATAGGGAAGAAAAGCTATTTCAGTATTCAGTATAGTTGCCGATTATTTCAGCAACAGCGGGAGGTGATGTAACTACCCACCACAACCTTTTTTTGCTACCGACCCTTCATGCATTTATTGAAACAATCTTCAATACTTAAACATAACGAAACAATCCGCTCAGGTCAGCAGACAAGGACTCCATATTGCATAGAGACGAAGACACAAGCTCGTGTTGACGACCAACTTTGTGATGATGCCAATTCAACGAAGCCAGAGGTATGCAAACGGACTTGAGAGGTTCTGTTCAGCTGAGTCACTAGTAAATTATGCTGAAAATAAGGAGTTTTTATTGCTATAATTGTAAGGAATTGTTATTTCGCTGCATCACACCCTGCAGAAACAAATCACGTTCAGACTTGGCTAAATACTGCTTCGAAAATAGGCTGATTCTCTAAAATACAGATCGGTCCCATCAGATTTCAGTGTTATAGTCGCGCTTCAAAAGTGCCTGAACAATTACACTAGCTTACAATAGGCATTCTTCCTCAGCCACAGACTTTTCATGCTGTACTTGTACCTGAACAATCTGCAAATTCGTTTCAGTTCGAGAAACCATGCGAAACCGTCGATTGTCAGGCGGAATGGTTCAAAGGCGAGTGGGAACCCTGCTCGCAAACTTGCGGTGAACAAGGCGAACAGTATCGCGTGGTGTACTGCCACCAGGTGAGGCCGATGCTGGTAAACTGCCTCTGATACCAATTAGATCAAGGAGAAGCACGAGAATCACAACATAGAAACTGTAGATGACAACAATGTTATTTTTTCAACTGGTTATTTATTGGAATAGAAAGTATGCTTAGAAGGTCAAACAGCGACCAAGGTCGACTTCCAGTCGATATTTAAAATTGATTAGTCGTACATACTTGAGGGGCAAGAACAATTTTGACTATTACTATGGGAAGAACTCTAAGTCCTTACGGTCATTTCCGATGGCTTTGTTAAGGCAGACGTTTTCCTGTATGTAGGTCTCTGATCTGTATCCAGTATATTCGAACCGATTCTACTAGAAAACTTCTATTATAGTTTCTTCTTCACGCCTTTTGGCGCAGTGGCTGCTTTCATAGTCCACGATTTGGGGAGCGACCATTACTGGTCGCTCGGTCGCTCGCTCGATGGGCCCGCGACCAGTCGCTGGCCAAATCGTGGACTATGTAAGCAGCCAGTGAAAAGTGGGAGAAGCTTGTACATGAGTTTAATTGAAAAACAGCTTGTAGAGGTAGCTTTTGGCAAGTGTGTTGATTTAAGGTCGATGTTGAAGGTTTGGTTCCGTTGTAGTGTACTACAACAAATCTGACAAAGCCGTTTAAGACATATGTTAGCATGCCTAGCTTTCTAGAAGGCAACGTTGAGTTCAAGAGAAGTTTATATTTGCAAGAACAAATCAATTGCCCTAAGTTGAGCAAAACTAGACTTTATTTTGGGACGTCGAATGAAATATATGAAGTTATTCACAAACAAGGAGTTATGAAAAAGCAATGCGAGGACACCTCAAAGTTTTCGAAGCTTTGCATCATTCCTGCGAATAAGATCGAGCATGACGTGGAGATATTTGCTTCTTTTCTGAAGCTTTTCCATAAATGCGACAAAAGTCATATTGAGAAGGGTAAGGGGGTGGGTAAGGTCAAATTTGGAAAAATATATGTATTCTATTAATTTCTGAAGGTGTTGCCTCAGTCCCCTAGTTCTGTCTTTCTTAGTCTCTCTCATCTTAGTCTTTGTCTTGGGTAAATACGAGTCACTCGCTTGGAAGGTGATCGGAGGGCTCATTATATAGGGAATTCTCTGCGACCGACCACAGCTATTTTTTGTTATGCTCTCTGTATGTATTCCCAATTTCTCAACTACAGGTCTTCGCGAATGGTCGACGCATCACCGTCGACGATGGCAACTGTACTTCTGAGCGTCCAGCGGTGCGACAGGTGTGCAACAGGTAAGCGAGAATCCCTCCCACCAGCCTATCTTCGTTCAAGTTCGGCTTCCAATGTATTCAGCGGTGTCGAAAACCCTTCGAACTAACATAAGTCCTGAACTATTTAGATTCGCATGTCCTGAGTGGCAAGCAGGACCATGGTCGGCTTGTTCAGAAAAATGCGGAGATGCATTTCAGTATCGTTCGGTCACTTGTAGGTCCGAAAAAGAAGGTGAAGAGGGAAAACTGCTTCCAGCTGAAGTAGGTACTACTGCTCTTGCGCCACACTTGGCCGTAATAGGAAACTCAAATGACTTCATGCTTCAAATATTAGTGATCGCAACTTTTTTTTGCTGAAAAACGAGCATAAGTTCTTGGTTGACTGAAAGTTGAAAATTTCCATTGCTATACATACGACATCTTGCTCTCCTTCACTTAAAGGCTTAGTTCACGATTAGGATGGTTCCTGAGATTTCCCCACAGGATGAATTTGAGAACCCCTCGTATACCATATCTAGCACTGCTAGGTCGGAAAACGGCCTAGTTAGGGAGTTATAAAGGTTCTGTCCCGTGTGTGTCCTCGGGCGAGTTTCATCGGCATTGTAGAGGCTGCACCGATCACAACAGAACACATTTAGGAAGTTCAAACAAGTTGTCGTGACCCATAGCAACGGTGAAAGGCAGTCCTGTACAGTTCTGGCTTGTTGTAGTCAGCTCTTTGTGCAGTTGCAAGATCTCGTCCGAGTACCTCTTCCATGTTATTTCCGTCATAACAATCTCACCCAACCTCTATTTTCCCTACCTTTGAGGAGCCATATTTTTCTCGAAATCGGCGGATTTTCTTGCTTTCTTCACTACCGATGGACTATTCCCAATCTATACTTCCGCTTTTCGAATAAAAACGATTACCACAAAATTATTGTGAACTGTGCATTACCTCAAAATTATCGTGAACTGTGTCTTTAAAGGCTGAGAAGGGTAACCGTGAGTTGAGCAGAAAGCAAGGTAGCTTCAGGGCCAACTGAATATGTGCTACATTTGCATTTCTTGTCCTCAGTTGACTGAACCTTGCGAACATTTAACTTCTCTTTCAGCTATCATTGGTTACCAACCACTGGCTCTTATGCTATGATGCTTTGAATAAGTGCCCTCATTTGAGACTACTTAACCTTATAGACCTTGAATGCACTTTCTTCAATAAGCGCACGGTGGCGAGCATCTCCTCAATGGTGAACTTCTTTCTTTAGCAGACAATTTGTTCGAATGAAAAAAGGCCCATCAGCAAAGCTACGACAAACGTCGATCCTCATGCTAATGTAATTCGCCCATATTTTTAACCCTTGATGTGTTTTTTAAAAGTCGGTAGCATTATCAGTAAAATCGTCCACTTTGTTCTTTTTGATGCCGACTTACTCCCCAGAAGCTCGGAAATCTATGTATCTGACGTAATCGTTTATATCCGTATTCACTCGCGGGGTCAGGCAGCTGATATTTATGCACGTTATCATAGTCATCAAAGTTTTCTGATAAGGTGGATTTGGACAACAGGCGGTAGTGTATATTAAACATTGGATTCGCAGTTGCCGAAATGCTTTCCCATCCGACTCTAGTGCTATTCCTCTGTGCTCTACAGTTCCGGTGGACTCGCTGCTCAGGAAGTGAACCATGGGAGTTGCACGGGAGAATCATTTTTGTAGAGCTCGTCAGCCGGTCCAATAATATAATTCACCTACAAGAAAAATGGACAGATGTTGATATGTGTGCTGATTGTAAGAAGCGAAAAAGGCGAATCAGCCTTACTTGTATGATCATTCAAACTATCCTGAAGCGCGTACTCCTGCATACGTAACTATGTCATAACTATTAGATTCATAGCAAAATGTTTTCACATTTCTGCTGGATTCTATATAAACAAGCTGTATGGAAGATTTAAGGCGTGCAGCTCCGAAAACACTCTAGAGTCTCAACGAAGTTGCAATCTAGGACCTTGTACCGGTCTCAAATTCTTCACATCGGAGTGGAAACTGGTTAGCTAGCTATTGTTGTAAGCTATCGGGATATCCCCGACTGACTTATGGGATGTCTGTGTTCATGATAAGAATAAATTTTAGTGCTCAAAATGCAATGACACCGAAGAGACTCGTGAGGTGACCTGCAAAGACTCTCAAGGACGTGCATACCCTCTGGAGAAATGTTTGACGGACGATGAAAAAGAGATACCAGTGGACACCAGGTCCTCTAACTTTTTGTATTTTTCTGCGTTCCATTCGTATTAAAATTACCTCTGATACTGGCTCCACAGCAAATAAGATTTGCAACATTGATCTTCACTTTCTCTTAATGTGCTACGCATTCGAATTCACTTATAATTGCTACAACTCTCAACGAAACTATTGCTTTACAAAACAACAATTAACTCTGTGCACCCATGGGGCCATGCCCCTATCTCTCATGCGCGACTGGCACCCATCGATAGGTGCCACTGTCCCAGGAGTGAATCCTTTCACGAGTCACCGAGTTTGGCAATAACTTCGCATAATAGAAGTAGGAATCGTATACTATTCAAGGCCCTTAAGGATCAATTTATATTATACTTTGCGACTGCCTGGCTGAGACCGGTCGGGCGGTCACATGATCGCAAATCAAGGCTTTTACTATCTGCAATGCTTCCAGAACGTACACGAATCTTGCGGAAGTACTTAGGTCTATTCAGTAGCGCTCCACTGACAACATGTTTGTAGTAAATAAACTCATAGATTATTCATACGGACAAGTTGCATCTGAATACTAGATTTTTTTCTGCTTAATATGGAAAAACTGATAAATTTAAAACGCACAAAAAAACTGATTATACAGTGACAGCCAACATTGGGTGCCATCTTCGTCAAAGGGTTAAGGTGATCGGCCCACGTATAAGTCACTTATTCCATTCTCTTAGGCAGGTAAGGTCACTATTGAGAAACTGTAGAAGAGTTGAACGCCCGGTTACCATAGTTTTGGAAGTTTGGATCTTGATCTTAAGGCGGTCTGAAACTTCAAATTTTAGTGCTCCATTTTTCCGAACATTTTGGTTTTGAAGTATAAGATATCACGAGTTCTGAAAGACTTCTCTAGCGGATTCCTGGGATATTACATATTTACTGCCAGATAGGGGACATCATAAGGGCTCAGTAGTGAGAGCAAAGAATTGGGGAGTGCTTTCGTAAGGGAAGCGCTTTGAAACTTCTTGATCAGGAAGTGATGCGATAACTATTGAGCCTCTGAATGCTTGCTAACGTTCGAGCATTACAGAGAGTTTCAAGTATGAAAATCTGGCTTACCGTCAGATTGGTTCGCATAAACTGTCGATTTCAAGACTTGATTTTCATGTTCTGTTCTCTCTTACACTCGGGCCCTCAAAATCAGGGGTTCATAAATTGTCTTCGGCTATTTTCGTGACCATTTTTTTAGTTCCCTTCATAACGAATAATTGCACAATGATCAGTTATATCAGACCGACATTCTAGAATCTTTACTTACTGATAAACTGTTTTTTTTTGACAAATTAGCATTTCGGACATGTTACGCTCGTGTGAAAATACTTCTCTTTTTTATCTAGTCCCCCAAGGTTCTTTCTTAACCCATTGTCGACCATGCAGTCCACATGTGGACTGCAGTTGTATTTTTTGTTTTATTCATCTATATTTCAACTTTTTTGCAGTTTTTCTTTTTGAAACATTACATCAGGTCTAAATGAAACTACATAAAGCGTGATCCTGGAAAATCTTCTAATTTTGCAATTGTAAAGGTGTTTTTTTCGAAGGAGTACATTACCTTGGTGAACTTTCGTTCGTTGAACAACTTCAAAAAATGAGATTTTTCGAAAACACGGTCGTCATTAGCATTTTATCTGTCATCGACCAAATGCAGAGCTTGTAAAAATTCCCCCAAAACGATTACTGGTGATGATTGAACTGATAATTGAATGACCACTAGACTGAGTGCCGGTTCTATAATAAAGATCAATAATCACTCAGTGTGGGCTTTCTTTTCAAACCCATTCAAAGGAACATTCCGAAAACTTATAAATATCTCTTATAAACTTCAAAAAAATGGTCATGCTGGACCATGAGAGTGGACGAAAAGCGCGCCGGTCCCTCGCGGCGGTCGCAAAACGCCATGGTCGTCAATGGGTTAACAAATCACTCGCACATTCTTTTGAAGTTGATTTCTACAAAATTATTGGAAATAAAAGAAAGTAATTTTCAAAGAAATTTAAGAGCATGCGCCACACAACAGCCATGCAATTATGAGTGGACTGCAAGTCAGTGGTCAAAGTGCTCCACCGAATGCGGTCATGGACATAAAACGAGACGCGTTATCTGTGCTATTCACGAAGAAGGCGATGTGACGGTATGAGCTGAAGTAACCATCAATTCAGTAAATTAGTCGACACAAGTTCTCAATATCACAAAGTAGTCCGTATTAAAATTTGAAATGCAGTGTCAAACGCAGTTTAGGTGGTCGACGAAGCTTTGTGTCAAGGAGAAAAGCCCGAAGTGAAAATGAACTGCACCAATGAGGAGAAATGTACCGGCACATGGTACAGTGGTCCTTGGTCACCGTGCAGTGTTGAGTAAGTCCACATACTGCCATATTCGTGTGATCTGTTTTTTTTTCACCCTTGATCAAACACATACGTGAAGGGAGGCGGAACAATGGACATAGGAAGGCACTGATGATTTATGGCTACAACTCAATCCAGGGCTCAAAAGTAGTGATATTCCATAGTGATTTCTATTGAGTTCGAATGAAAGGCCGTTATCTGATGAGTAATGTTTATAAGATTTTTGAAATGATTTTAACGAATTTTGACCTTTGAATGCAACTTTTGAGTCTAATCTGAACGGTCGAGAGAAAACGGATGTTGACGCAGTAAGGAGAACTATTTTTGGTTTTTGGGCATGTGTGTCATGGATCATTATTAAATTAGGTGAGTGGCAGCAATTATAGTTGAGTTACTGTCCAGTAGGATAAGTCTTTCATTCACATGACTACCTCTCAGAACATATCTCGATATTTTCTTCCACGTTTCTTCTTTCTAAGAAATCTCCGCCAATCCATTGTAGCATTCACTGTGGGCATTGCACACGTGAAGCATAGGTTTACTAGAGATCGGTTAAAATCAGGCTGAGCACCACAAAGGGGTGTGCCTTGAAAAGGTTGCTCTTCATCTATTGGGCTCCTCCGTATATCGAGTGAGTCTCCCATCGTTCGTTTTCTCTTGCTTAACAACTAAACTATCCCTTTCATCATGTTGTCTATCCAGCCATGTTCATGCATTTCGGCTAATTTTTGTTTCCAGATAACTATTTCGTTTCCATTTCAGAAATAAGACAGCCGAGCACGCTCTTAACGAATCATTTCAGATGCGGGGGAGGAAAACAAGAACGTGTGGCGGTCTGCCTTAACTATGACAAGAAACCGGTCCCAGAGTGGTGCGACGAATCCGAGATGCCTAACCTTATTCAGGACTGCAACACCGATGAGTGTCCATGTGAGAATGATTCGTGTTTATTTTTTTCTGATGGCAGTAAGTTGTACAGGTACTTGTGGCTTGACTGGGGACTCAAACTTATATTTTCAGGGAAACAAAAATTTTTCCCCTGAAAATATAAGTAACAAAATCAAATTTTTTTTTATACTATGACTAGTAGTACTTCTTTTGAGATATTGTTGGCCCTTCAGCAATGGAAGTATTTTTTTTGTACTATGGACTATGGACTACGGCGGTATATAAGACGAAAGTATTATTGCATCGTTATGGAGAGCTCGCTAGGGAAATAACATTGCCCCAACGCAAACACCATCAGCGGCGCTGCGGACACTGACGCTGTTCGACGCTCCGCGCTCAACGCTTTGCTCAGAAAGTGCTCTATGAATATTCCAAAAAAAGCATCCGATGTTGCACCTCGTCTTTGATTATTAATGAGTATCTTTTCGGTAGGCTGACAGCAAAATGAGGCCCGAAGCTCAGTGTGTCTCTAAGGGCAGTTTGCGCCGATCTATTACACTTGCGTGATCAGATTAACAGCAATCCCTGGTTGCCATATCTCTATAGCTGGCCGTACCGCTCTGACGCATCCTGCCTCACTTCCAAGCGCTAATTACGCGTTTGATTTTATCCATCAGACACTGTAGGCGACGATTTAATGAGCGTAAATATGAATATTAGCTGAGTGTACAACTGAATCGAGTCACGTAGTAAGTTCAGAACCGAAAAGTTACGTGATATATGCAGAAGAAAGGATCACAACAGCGATTGCTTGAGTTTTTGCTTATGTAGATCTCTGTTATTCACTGCAATGCGTTTGCTTGTCTGAAGAGGGTTGAAGTAAAAATGTTCTTTCTGATGTTGTTACGCGAAATTACAAGAATTACTATCAACTTTCAGCTTGCTTCGACTCTGAATTCGGATGTTGCCCTGATAACACAACATTCGCAACTGGAGATTTCAATCAGGTACAGTCCCAAATACAGTCGTTGTTGTATAAAATAGACACAGAATTTTTGGTAGCTCATGCCGTTGGTGCAAACGATTCACAACCTAATTACAGAACATAATCTGGCTCGTGACTCGTTGACCAACAAGCTCTTACGAAATTTTTGATATCCTTATTTTCTTGATCCAGAATTTACAATTACCATGTATTGTGTATTCAGGGCTGCTCAAACTGCAGTCTCAGTGAGTTTGGCTGCTGTGCCGATAACTATACGGAGGCTACGGGTAAAGGTGGAAGGGGATGCGAAGAGTTTGTTGAGCAACCTTTGAATCTTGAGGAAGCCAGTGAAGGATCAGGGGAAGAGGTGAGCTGTGAAACCGTTTAGTTCTAAGTTTTCGGCTGGAAGAAGCGTAGCTAGTCTTATTTGAAAGCCAGGCGTTGTATGCCAAATCATTGCTCATAGAGTTAACCGGCTCATAGGCTGCTTGTGAATGATTTTTCTATTGAGCATGCAGTCAGATCAGAAAATGCTGATCAGAAAAAGCTGTTCGCGCGAAATCGGAAAAGAGCCGAAAGTCAATTTATAATTTGCCAATCTAATTGATTAACGCTTCGTACTTGCTATTCTACACAGTAGTATTTATCTTTTCATTTAATAGCATTGCGCGCACTTAGAGCCTGAGCTGTAAGCTAACTTTAACTCGTGTCTGCATTGAAGCGGGTGTGGTATTTTCATCCAGATAATCGCGTCGCGCTCGCCGCCCCTGATCGGGCGCGATCGCTTCTTTCGTAGCACGCGCGCGATCGAATGCGGTGAGATTGGGGTATGTGGACCTTCGTGCGTCCGAGGATGGGCGCGGCAAATTTCGCGGCGAAGATCGTAACTATTTGAACTATTTAGCGCCCATCATAGGGGTCCAAACTCAAAGTAGGGTAGATTAGAAGGATCATCTGACCCTACTAAACTACTCTACTTCGAGCTTGTGCCCCGAAGTCGTCAGAGTCGTACAAATCGTCACGAACTTCGCCGCGCAGTTGCCGCGCGCATCCTCGAACGCACGTATGTCCCGCCCTCGCGAGATCGGGTGCTATCAATTCCCCTCGGAAGGATACAGTAGCCGTCGCGGAATCACACCCCATTGGAGCAAAATCATCAGGGTTATGATTAGTTAAGATTTGGTCCTTACGTTTAATGAATTCAGAGAATTGTTTGCAGAAGACCGGGGAATGTCAGGTAACAAGTGAAAATGGAGATGTGGCAGCGGTGGACTGTTCTGCAGCAAATGCTACAACAACAGACCTCGAAGGTCTCTTTGGTGAGTTCCACGAGTTCCACCAACGATGGCTAGTTAACAGTCATCAGGGAGGCTGTAGCTAGTAAACAATTTTATCACGAATAAGTTTTATTGGTATTGATATTTCTCGTTCATTGGACTAAGCACATGAAAAATACCTAACACTCTCTTTTAATGATTGTTCATTCAAGGAAATGGAACCGACACGAATGCCACTATGCATTGCTCAAAATCCGAATTCGGTTGTTGCCCAGATTGGTTCACTCCTGCCGAAGGACCGAATAACGCTGGATGTCCAGTTTTTGTGCTCGGTAAATTGTTTCAACAACTACTTTGTCTTTATTCTTTTTTATCAAAGGAGATGGTTGCTATGGAGAACAAATATAGCAACTATCCTATGTAGATAAATTTACTGAGTGAATATGTTGTGAACTAAAACGAATTATGGCGATGAGAAGGCTGTGTCTAGGTAAGACTGTATCAAAAAGAATTTCACAGGAGCGTGTAATGAGACCGAGTATGGATGCTGTCATGATGACGTTACCTTGGCGCGTGGACCAAATCTCGAAGGATGTGGGGAGCCAACGTGTGCCGGTTCCCTCTACGGATGTTGCAAGGATCGTAAAACCATTGCGTTCGGACCGCATTACGCAGGTTGTGAAAGGTTAGTTGGCATACGACGCATAGGATCGCTTATTCTGGAAGGTATGCAATCAGATCCACTATTACAAAAAAGTCATAGAAAAAGCTGCAACTCAGCCTTTTTCACTCGCTCAATACTGCCTTTTTTATTACCGCACGATCGAAAATGTGTCTAATTAGTTTTCAACCATTGTGCGCTCCATGGTTTGATCCCACAGATGATAGGAAAGAAGAAGAGCATCTCTCAGTACACAGTTTGAATGATCAGCTTTAATATGAGAAATTTTGAATAGGAGTCGACCTGAACTTCTTTTCTCTTTAGTCTGTCGAACAGTTGCTTACGAAAACGATCAGATTCGCTTCCTTATAAAGGCGAATTGGATCGCTTTCGGAAACAAATTTACGTGAAGTTGTCTTCTTTCGGTATCTACCAACCGGAAAGGCAAGATCAAACATATTTCTTTTTATCGTGGATGATTGCTACGGTCCCTTGTTTCGCTCATCAGGAAGGTATAAAAAATCGGTCACTTCTTCTTGCAGGTCGTCATTCCCTTGCGAACTGTCTGAATTTGGATGCTGTGCAGATGGGGAAACGGCAGCGCTCGGCGCAAATGGCACTGGATGCGGAGAGAATTGTCTAACGACAAAGTGGGTCTCAAAAGATTTCTTTGTGACAGCGTCATTGGTACTACTCTTGAATTCAGGTATGGCTGTTGTCCAGATGGTAAAGGTGCGGCAAAAGGACATCATAATGAAGGATGTGGATGTGTCTACGCCCAGTATGGTTGCTGTCCAGATGGGAAAACTTCTGCGAAAGGAGCTGGTTTCTATGGATGCCCTGATAGCTGTGCCCAAAGTAGATTTGTGACATATGAAGACGTTTTCTGATGGCTACCGAGCTTGATTATAGGTCAGTTTGGATGTTGCCCTGATGGCAAGACGCCGGCGCGAGGATCTCACAAGGAAGGGTGCCCGTGTCAGTATACTCGCTATGGGTGCTGTCCAGACGGAGAAACAACAGCTCTCGGACCAAGAAACGACGGTTGTGATGACTGTAGATATGCTAAGTGAGTTATAGATTCAAAACTCTTTGAGCTCAATCGTCTGTCAATTTTATGGATGGTCACTGTCATTTTTTGAATAATGCGGAATATCCTATAACTGTCAAAATTCTGCGGACCATCAAGAACCCTAGAAATTTTCGTAAATTTAACAATGGGAAATTCGTCTCTAAGCAACGTACGTTATGAGAGAAAAAGATAATGAAGACTACATCCAATGTGAAAACAAGTGTAGTCTCCACCACAAGTTGATTAGGTTTATTACTCGATCCCCCGATTGGGTGGATAGGCTATGAAGCATCTGTTTAAAAGAAATGTTCCCGAAAATCTTCTGCTCAGCAGAAGGGCAACCGGAAAAGCATGTGTATGTCTTCTGCTCATGTGCAGCCTTAACCTTTAATTGCTAAACTGTTTCTATGCTGTTTCGGGTTCAGGACCGAATTAAATAACCTGAGAAATTAAACTAGTTGTAGGTAAACTAGAAACTGAACCTAAGTAGTTATCACTGATCGCAAAATTACTATTCCAAGAAGACGCCATTGTCCTAATCAGAGAGGTAGACGAGCAAAAATTAGCGTGGCACTGGCCGCTTTTATAGTCCGCGATCCCCGTGGAATTTTTGCTAACTTTTTCAACATTCGCTGTCTCTGCTGACACGGTGAAGTAAAATTACAGATATGGCTGTTGCCCGGATGGCGAAAGCAAGGCAATAGGCCCCGACTACGCTGGTTGTCCGTCAACTACGCTGGCTCCCTTCTTACTTGGTGGTACAGTTGCGCCTTCAAAAATATCATCATGTGCGCTGCCACAGGACCAGGGAACTGTTTGCTCATCTGGGTACAAACTGGTAACTTTCCTTTCTGATTAGAGTTTATATACCGTTGCCTTTCCACTACTCTGTTTAATGTTTGCTAATTGCTCATTCCATTTTTGACCCAATTTTAGCAGGGGAGGCACCCTTCCTCTTTCCAACTTTTCTTAGAACTGGTCTTCATCTCTGCTTTTATAGGTGTGGTATTATGATACTGCAGAGGGGCGCTGCTCACAGTTTTGGTATGGGGGATGCGATGGCAATGATAACCGTTTTGCCACGAAAGAACAGTGTGAAACTATCTGTGTAGAACCACCCGGAATCGGTGAGTCGCGTAATCTCTCGTTCATTGTTATTTACAGTCCTTTTACCAAACTCTATGCGTTGGAGATACCTGCGTTGTTATATCTTTTTTCCTCTTTTCATTATCTCAGTTTACCTTCCGCTACGCTCCAAACTGAAGCTTAATCTTGGTAATTTATAAATAGACTAGATTAAGAAGTATACTAGATTTTGGTTGTCACTGATTATTGCAGGAAGATGCTACCTTCCCAAAGTAGAAGGACCCTTAAGATGTGATCAGCCTCAGGCGAAGTACTGGTACGACTACAACACGAAGCAGTGTGCTGCTTTCTGGTGGCGTGGCTGTCACGGAAATGCCAACAACTTTGCCTCTTGGGAGGAATGCAGTGTGCGTTTGTTTTTTTTTATCTCCTAAACATCACTTTTAAATTGCTGACTTGAGTGATATTTCTCAAAATTCAAAATCGAGTTTCTATATAAAGTTAAAAATGATCTATGTCTCAGGCGTGATTGTTCAAACCAGATACACTTGGTTCCTGCCTATGCATTTTCAAAAGCATTATTTTCTGAGTTACGTCAAAGCATTGATTCACGGTCAAACTCGAGTGGTGTACCCTACTTCAGTGGAGATCGCATTTATTCGGGACGACAGCTTCTAATAACTTCCTCACTTTGAACTGTATTCAATAAGCAATGCGACTAGCAGAGAGTGCAAATATCGCACTCCTGTTACCATAAATTATTCAAATATCATTTTTCGTAAAATTTGAATGTCCACATAAAACTAGCAATGAAAGCAACCAATTGATGACGATGACCAACGAGATACGAGGTGAGTTTGAGGACAATAGAAATGAACAGGCTGGAGGAAGAATCTGCAAAACTCGCTATAACGTGACATCGCCAAAGAATGTCCTGATAGGATCTCTTTGGTGCTTCCAGAGAGATGAGTGGGAAGAGGTCCGAACCTCTTTCGAGAATAAGAGAACCGAAAGCGCCTTTCTACATCTTATTCGAAAATCAGTCGTTTCAGTAGTAAGGTTTGAAGTGTCGCTAGACGGTCTATGAGCAACAGATTTATTTTCCCGACCCTGAAGGCCCGCCAGAACGAATATAGGAGAGTGTTGGCTAATCCCGCTGCCTAGCCACACAACAGTTTTCTCAGGCACCGTACGCTCTAGCATGATAAAGAAAACGTACCTTCTTTTGATGTGAGGGTTTTGCATAGATATTGGTACAGCCCTGGAAAAGAAAATTATGAACGCACGGGAAATATCACGCATCAAGCCGGTAATCAACGCAGAAGAGAAGATGACCTGACCCGTGACCTCATGAGACTGTTTAAATGATAATACTCCGGTGCCTCAGGAGATGAGCGGTGCCCCATTTCTCCTTCAAGTTTCCCGCTAATTGGTCCACTCCTCTCTTTCCCAATATTTTCGGTTGGTTTGGTAGGATTCAATGTGTTCTATGTAGTAACTTATTAATGACTGATTTTTGCAATTGTGCATTGTAAAGTTAAGGTCTGAAGAAGGCATTATATGCCGAAAGCTAGACAGTAGAGTGAAATATCAAGAGTTTCGAATATATACATGAAAAGCAATGAGAACAACCTTGACTTAGGTTCAGATATAGCAGTGCCTCGAGCATTTATTTTATTCTGGAGATCACCTCATCAGGCTGCGAGTCTGCCGATTTCTAAAATAGATTTTTAGACTTTCTGTAAAGATGTCGGACCTTTCGCAACACCAACAACAGCAGTTCCAGCTCCACAACCCCCTCAAATTCCGCACATGCCACAGATTGAATCCATGGAAGTTGAACATCAGGTAACGTTGTTTTGCAGGTTTTGAATGTCTCCATTTTCTGAATAAAGAGGGCGTTTTCTCTATCTTCTCTTTATCCAGCTCGCTCCCTATTTGCCACGCATGCACTTTCTACAATTTTACCCAGTTAATCGGTGCACCAGTCGGTTTTTCTAGGTTGTTGCGCATCCCATTCCCGATGAAGCACCCACTCAAAGACAGAGAAACGATCTACGTCCGCGTCCGCCCATGCGTAAGTTTTAATTGTCATTTGAAACATCTTTCTGCATGAGGCTGCTTTACGTTTGAGAGCAATATTATAGGTGACCGTGTAATCCCATCATGCTCAAACAAAGCAAAGAATATGAATTGACTCTGCATAATGCTGCCCATCTAATTGACAGATAATGAAGAATAGAGAACAGTAACATTAACTTATGAATTTTTATCAAACTTGGGCGCCTTGGATAGAATTATGTAATAACCTCACTGTTTGTTGTTGTCAGCCTAGTCATCACTAAAAACTGACAATAAAAGGGCTTGTAAAGTCAAATCATCATTAGTTGATAAACTACGTAGGTAGCGAGACAAGGGTAAGTTCAAGTAGCTTGAACTAAAGTGGTAGATTAGGTAAAGGTAAGCTTCATCGAGATAGGCTCCTATCTATTGTGCAAAAAGCTATTGTTCGAATCTATTCTGATATTCATCATAACCGACGCGGCTCCAGTGAGCCACTTGTTACGCAATGATGTGAACTCATTCCCTATGATGCGCGGAGGGATGAATCCAATTAAAGTGCACATCACCTGTATCACATCATCTTCGCTCATGAAGCAAAGCATTCCTTTCGATCAAAGCTTCCGTGATGGAGAAGTCCGACCATCGCGCTTGCGGTCGTGTTGATGTTCGTTTGACCTCCAAAGGGATTCAGTCAGCAAAGTAGCTCTGGTCCAGCCGTCTTCACAATATCGCATTACGACCCATGTGATCTTTAACTTCTTGGCCTGAACAACGACATCCCGGGGGAGGTACATTGCGATTTGGACTGCGCGCGGCAAATTGCGCGGCGAAATTTATATCGATTTTGAGGACTTTGGCGCCTGTTATTAGGGCCCAAAGTTCAAGTAGAACAGATTAGAAGTATCAGCTGACACACTCAACTATTCTATTTGAAGTTTGTGTCCCAACAGTAGGCGCCAGTATAGATCGAATCGCCACTACTTTCGCCGCGCACCTTGCCGCGCACGCTTCGAATAGCACGAATGTACACACGCCCCGACATCCCTGATCTTCGTTTCTTGACGGAGCTCGGAACTCCGGATTCCCTTTGTATCTGCATGTATAGGGAAATTTCGAGCATTATCCTTTCCAAAACGCTTTGGAGTCGCTGACACCATGTCCATACTGCTCTCAAAGAGTCCAATTCTCCGAGACGTACGTGAAAGCAAAAAGGACAGAAGTGTCGAAAAGGTGAGCGTGGAGTCGAATGTTCTCTGTCTTCTTCCCTCAATAGTTATAAATGCTTTCTGCGGTGTGCGTTCCGTTCTGCCTAGCTCCGAAGCTGGGTCGCTAATCGTGTTGACTTACCTAGATGCACGTAGCTGTAGCACTTGGTGATATTCGTTCCGTTCAGCGTCGAGGGATCATCAGGAACTAATCCATTTCTCATGAACATCACCTCCGTTCAGGCTGGGTCACCATCTTCCCCAAGCCTGTCGAATTCGGCCAGTGTTCATCCATGCTCGATGTTCGGTGTTATAAGCACGATGTTGTCTGCAGACCCTTTCCAAATGGTGTTCTCAAGGACGGCACTGAAATGTTCGAGCAAAAGGGTAATGCCCTGCCAAAATCTTCTCCATTTTGACAATTACTTCCTTATGGAATGGCGAAAGCCTGGTCGTGAAGTTGTCATATAGATCACGACGCATCCTTACGTATTATTTAGGGACACTCTAGTAAGGGCTTCATTTACCGATTCTCCCTCATCAGTGTCAAATGCCTTCTTCAAGCCGGTGAATGTCATAAATAACGACATCCTGTATTTTCGCGATACTACAGCGAATCTTGTAACGAGTGGATGTAATCGATGTACTAAACCCCCTTCTAGACCCTGTTTGCTCGCACAGCTGTCATTTACCTAATGTTCCGCCCACCCGGTTGAGGATGCTGCCTGCAAATACTTAGTAGATTACAGACAGCGGACACTTGGGTGATATTTGTCAATATTTTTGCTAGAGTTTACGAGATAAAAAAGCCCAATGACAATCCCCATGACTGTTGGCCTTGCTAAGAAATGAAAGAAAATGAACGAAGCAGGTAATAATGCCCCGAAGAAAGCACCCATCGCAGTTCGCTTCCAATTGATGGCTGCAAAAAATTGGTAAAAATGGGAAAGTAAATCATACTGCTTGAGTCTCAATTACTCTGGAACCTGTTGTTTTTGATTCATTGAGAATCTTCGACATGTTTTTCTTTCACGGTACAAACCTCTCAGAAAGACTCGGAGGTTCAGTCCGTTACTCACCTCAAGGTTCGGAGCCTACTTATTTGCTTTTCCTTTCAATCGCGTATTATGTAGTATTGGATGAGATGGCGATCATAGAGGTGCAAGCTATGATGCTATCTTCGACAATGTAATCGTATAAATAGTTAGTGACTATGTTTTTTTTTCTAGCTACGATTGAAGAGGTGTGTCGATCCACCCAAGACTCCGGTCCTTGCCAAGATTACTCAGATCAGTTCTACTATGACGCCTACAAAGGTGAGTTTTTCTTCACCTCCTCGAGATCGGAAGTACCTTTTCGTGGCTTTTCCGCTGGTTCCCAAAGCAGATGTGGCACCACTTTTCTAAACGCCGATGCGAAATATCCTTCGGGCTTTGTTATCCATTTGTTCGTACATTCGGTTGGCCTTCAAACATACATGAACCTTGTGGAGAACATTTTCGTTGCAATGACTTCATCAAGACGTGTGAGCACAATAGGGTAAAATCCTGAATCCAATTTCCATGGTGCGGGCGAAGAGTGTTCCTCTGCTATTGATAAATTTATTTTGGTGGTTAGTGCTGCCGATTGTGTGCATGAGCAACGCGTCTAGAGATTCTCATCGAAAAGAGTCACGTGAAGCTTACTAAAACGTATACATTGAAAAAATGCCTAGGAACCTGTCAAACGTTCATATATGGTGGCTGTGGAGGAAACTTGAATCGCTTCCGTACCGAAGAAGAATGTATGCAACGGTGTGGTTTCTTAAACCCCACAGCTAGCTCCGCTTACCAAGCACAACAATCACCTCTTCATGAAGGTTCGTTAATTTAGCTACCTTATTTAAAACATTCATGAATGAGAAAACAATGCAAATTTTTAAAGAACTAAGGAAAAAAAAACTTGCGTTCTCTTGTTACATTCTACACTGAAAAGGAAAAGTGGTGGTAAACATAGGGTTGACTGTCCCGAGAGGATATTTTTGGAATTTTGATTTGTGAATTCAGGTGCTCAACAAGAACCCCATCCTATCCATCAACGAGGACAGGGTGCAGGACAAGCTCAATCACAACAACAGGAATATGAACAACCTCGTCAACCATCGTATCCTGACCAACACCAACAAGGTCCGGTGCGACCTCCTCCACCAGTCGTACCACAGCAGCCGTCTTACGGCGTTCATGCTCATTCCGGTAATCATCGTAATCATTATATAGTCGATAAGCCTTAGATATTTTGTGGGATTTTAGTTTTATATCAACCGACAGCACTAATATATTATCCCTTTTATTACGCGGCCCCTTAAAAAATCTTCATCAGGTCTATTTAGTCAGCAAACCTGAAACATTAGATTCTACCATAGGTTATGCCATTTTTCAAACAGACGTGTCGAAGTTTAAGGGTGATCACATAGACCAATGTGTTTCACTTCTTCACTCTCTAGCGAGGCGGTTTCTTGACCGTTCTTTCACACAATTTCTATGTTTTCTTATCCCTTCATTTGTTTACCGGAGGCGTTTTCTCGTTCTTTTCGGCTTGGGTTGTCGTAAAATGATGGCAAGTCGATTATATCTACGAATTGGACTGAAATTTTTGGTGAAAAGTTCCAGAAGAGACAACCAGTCTTCCTTAAAATCTTTTCTCATCCTTTCACTTGTGCATCACTGCATCGGAGACAAAGAAAATAGTAAGAAAACAAATTTGAAAAAGTTACCTTTCATGTATGTATTACTTAGTCCGGAAACTTATAATTTCAGATAAGAAATTTATTTGAAAAAAAAGATCTCTTCTGTTTTAGCCTATCACGACTCAAATCAGTAATATTTCCAGCAAAATCACGACAGTCTTGTCATTTGCCGCTCGACGTTGGCAAATGTCAGGGCTCTTTTGACAGCTGGTATTATGAGATGGCTACTGGCTCATGTGTTGAATTCAAGTATTCCGGATGTTCTGGTAACGCTAATCGATTCGCCTCCAGAGAAGAGTGTGAAAACACTTGCGTTCGACAATCTGAGCCACACTCGGGTACTTCGCGTTTCTGGTTCTTGTTCAAGCTTATTCTGCTTGCCCCTTTGATTCACTTCATTTCCTACAAATGCAAGTCATTTTAAGATACCACCTCTCATGGGACTTCAGTCTGTGACGAGGCCAAAGAGACCGGACCCTGTACAAACTTCGCGACTAAGTGGTACTACAATAAGGTGAGCTTTTTTGAAGTGTGGCCTTTCGCGCCCAAAATGTTCGACATTTATTTCATTGTTACATTTTAGGCCGATGGCACATGTAATCGATTCCACTATGGTGGTTGTGAAGGGACGAGGAATCGGTTCGATAACGAGCAAAGCTGCAAGGCGGCTTGTGCTAATCATCAAGGTGCTGGAGAAAGTTAACTTTTTGATTTTGGTTTTTGTCGTTGCTCAACTATTAGATATTATCTTCTTATTAAAGTCTCTGAAAAAAATTTGAGGTAAAGCGCTCATAACCTTGTTTCCAAGGATTAGTGCTGTTCTTATAAAGGAATTATCAAAAGGTTGCGTAAAACAATGTGATTCATTCGGGTGTGCGACGTTAGTCTCGACTGACATTAAAAATAAAAAAGAAAAATTAAAAAGTCTTGTGAGTATTTGTTTATTAATTAAATGTAAGTGATTCGTTTTTCTACTTACTTCGAGCCGAGGTGCAAAGTGACCTCATTAATGACTAACCTCATCTTAATTACGCGCCTCCCCTTGATCGCAGCTAATCTTATCTTACTTATTGAAGTGATGGCAATTATGAGAATAGTGAAAAAATGAAATTTCAAGAAAAGTAGTTTTTAACGTAAAATTTTCATGGTCTTCGATTTTAAAAGTTTTATTACCATATAAAATAGAAAAATTCGATGGTCATAAAAATGAAGTTCGTGTAAGATGCGAAAACATCCTTTTGGTCGCTATCTTTTTTTTTGAATTTTCACTAATCTGACCTTGCTTATAATCTTACTAGGTATTCTGACGACACTTTAACTACTTCCGAGATTTCACGAGGTACCATTCAGCTTCAACGCAACTCCAATCCGCACCCCAACCCTTTTACTATGCTACTTCTGTATCGATGCAGCCTCCACCAATGCAGCTCCAACCCGCACCGCTACCCTTGTGCTATGCTACTTTTGCACCTACCCAACCGCTCCAGCCAGTACCGCAGCCTTCGCTCCATAATATTCCGCACCTACTCAACCGCTCCAACCCGTACTGCACCCTTCGCTCCAATCTACACACATTCTCTCAGATTCGACGAAGTTCATCAGAGAGGAGCAAATCGCATCCAAATCCAAGAAGAGTTTTGCATAAAGATATCCAAATTCGTAACGAACTAGACCATCTGAGTTGTTTAGTTATTATTTTTAAGATATTTCTTATTGGAAAAATTAGGCTTCTTCAGATTTTAGTGGGATTTTTTGTTGAAATTTCTATCATCTTGCATGGTAATAAAACTTTTGAAACCGAAGATCATGAAAATCTCACGTTAAAAAACTACTTTTCTTGAAATTTCATTTTTTCACTATTCTCATCATTGCCATCACTCCAATAAGTAAGACAAGGTTAGCTACGATCAAGAGGGGCGCGTAATTAAGATGAGATTAGTCATTAATGAGGTCACTTCGCACCTCGGCGCGAAGTAGTGTCAGTCGAGACTAACGTCCCACACTCGACTCATTCTATACCTGTATGAAGCCTTTCTCGCCCTTCCGCAATTCATTTTTACTAGGAAGCCGTTGTTAAGAACCATTCGCTTATTTTCCGAGGTTTATCAAATTGGAGCGAGTGAGTTGGGAAGGCCGTCTGTGACCTTCGAAAACGTCTGCTTGCAGTTATTTTCAACAGCATTTTTCTGTCGGAAAAATTCTGTTGTTTTGATTAAGACTGTTTTCGCCATTCTTCATTATATGTTCCAGCTTCCCAGAGTTGCCGCACTCCCAATTTGGAAGTTCAGCGGTTTTTGTGCAATCTGACTCTCCCTAATTTGCTGCATAATGACATGCAACAAAATTTTCCAGCGTGGGAAAGCGGCTGATCCAAATAGATGTGGTATCTCCTTCCCGAAAACCGCATCGCCCTTGCCGCACCCGATCGCGCGCAGTGAAGGGGAAGGTTTGAATTCTGCGTGAAAAGACACGGTAGTCAACGGGAAACCACTGCCGCTTGCGTTGCGAATCTGTGAAAAAGTACTGCCACCCATCCAATTGGGGTGGCCAACTTGGTTGGTTCAAACGGCTCTACTGAGCGCGCTGTTTCTTGGCATACACTACTCGCCAATTTTATGATTTTTATTCCCACTGTATGTCTATAACTTGCATTTGGGTTTTTGTTAGAGTATACCATTTTAGTGTGTTTGTTCAGTTTGAGGTCGCCTCTTTAAAGGTGCCTTAAACACGATAGTTGTTTAAAGCAGTACGCAATTTTAGATGCCTGCACACTTCCCAAAGTGCAAGGTCCATGCTCGGGAAAGCACGAGTACTACTACTTCAACACGGTCTCGATGTCATGTGAGAAGTTCACTTACGGCGGCTGTCTAGGTAACACCAATCGCTTCTCAACGTTGGACGAGTGCCAATCACGTTGCCAGCGTAAGTAGTTACTTTTTCCTGCGATGCGATATTCCTTCCATCGCGCAACGCAAATCTTGCCGAACCGCAAAAATCTATCCTGTATTTTTTCTGAATGTGCAGAGCACTCTTTGTTAGTCATAATAATGTGTTGTTAAATGTGTCCGTGTTTTACGCACTGCACACAGAACTCCCCTACTCGCCGCCAAACTCGGAGCTTGCTAGAATTGTGCAGTATGTGTCAGAACACGTTGCAGATCTTATTAAATAATAATACCGCTGTTGTCTTTACTGCACTCATCGATTTTGTAGCTCTGCTTGGCAGGAGTCGTTGTTTGCTCCGAGTTCTGTTCCGTATCTGCCGTCCACTTTTTGTTTGTTTTTTCATCTTCAATTTCCTCCATCATTACTATGTACTGCCCATTTTGTGTTATGTGAATGTCATTTGGCACAAACCGAATAAAGCATATTTGGCGTTGTCATTATAGTATGCATTTCCTTCAGTTCATACTTCTGTAATTACCTGTGTCACATCGCTTCTGCACCCTAGCCATCAACGCTTTGTCTTGCGAGCTCTTTGTAGCTAACTCTTTGAAGATTTTTTTCATGCCAGTGGCTTAATTCCAAAATTCAAAAAGATCTGGGGGATCTACGAGAAAACTTCGGGTCGTCATTCTTTAAGGGTCGGAATCGTCTGGTATTCATGAAGAGGAACTCACCTGAAAAGTGGGAGTGCAGTATTCAATGGAGCTTCTCATTGTTACACCCGTTGGTATAGAAATACAGGGATATCCTCGTCCTGGGATCTTGTTAGGTGGATGAGTGAGCGCACTAGTTATAATGGGTGAGATTTCTGAATAGTGGAAAAAGAAAATGAAACGAAGTAAGGAAACGGTAGTGCAAAGTAGAAAACTCGCCCACAGGGTTTGTGCACAAACAGATAGAATTGACAGTACCTTTGCAATAATGAAAAATACCAGGAGCAGAGATTAATCGTGTATTTTCTCGTCCTTTTCATCAACTTGCTTCTTTCACCCTCTCTGACCAGTGCTTGTTGCGATTTGTGGGGCAAGGGCCAGGACGCGCTATCATTTCTGCTGTTGACGCCACTTTGTCGACCTCCTGAAGGGAGGTGACTGTTACAGAAGGAATGTAACTTAATGGAAACACTACAACATGCAAGCTATGGCACGAAGAATCAACAAGATTCAGAACCAGACAGCGCATACGGTTATTGTACAATAACGATTTTGGTTGGTCAACTGGTTTCTGCTGTCGGAAATGCGATTTGGCAGTCTATCATGAGCAAAATTATAATTTGTGTGCCTGAAAAGTTTTCGTTGTTCCTCTGACCACAGGAAGCAACTGTTTTACAGAACGCTTTCAAGACGAAGAACAAAGAAAATGAAAGCCAACTGCGAAAGCATGCTCAGATCATTGATCGTGAAACCTTGACGATTCCTTGGAATTCTCAATTTTAGAACTAGCTTGCCATCACTATTAGAGTTTCGTGATCAAAAAGTGTTTGGCAGGGAGCTGGAGTTCATGTGAGCTTGGTAGGGTGGCTGGTCATTTCGTACGCCTGCTGGACGCACTCGGCTTACTCATTGAATCACTTCTTATGTGGCGCCCTTTATTTTTGTCGTATGGATATTGTCATAGATCTTGCTATTCAACTTGGTTCTTCTGAAATAACATGGTTCCGGTTTCGCCAATGTTTTGCATTTCAGCAGCAGCCCCGAACAACATAGTTCATTGCATAAACAGGAACGTGGAAATGATCTACAATTTACCAAAATCGTTATCTCACTTTCTTACAAGCATGAATCTATTTCAGCCTCTTTGGAGTCAGAACGAGTTCTCGGTGATGATCCATTGCCAGAGCGAGAGTTAAGCTCGAATGTGTGCTTCTTACCACTCGATGTCGGACCCTGCAGGTTTACATTAGTCTCTGTTTTCGTTGACCATTCGTTGACCATTTGCATTGCCTTGTAGTGATTTTCGCACTTATTTCATGTACTTCGTAGCAATCTATTCTACAGTCTTGTTTACTATTGGGTAGAGGCTCAGCTGTTATGGCTCGTCATATTTTGGCTGTCACATGCAACCCGCTTTGTTCAGATGTGTCCACCTAGCGCAACTCTAACTTTGGAAGTTTCGGCTAAGCTTGGTTAGGGAGCATAAATCATCAGTATTTGGAGTATTTGATCGAGAGAATTGGTAACGAGAAACTTGTTTCCAAACCTGGCATTCAGGAGTGGCTTTTCTCATAAATTTTGGCATCTATACCTATCCATACTTGATCATTGCAAACACAACATTCTCAGGCGCCTAGAGATAGCTCTTCTACCTCGCTTTCAAGTCGTATGGTCGAATCGGTATTATTAGTCGCATGGGCTAGTTACCAGATCATACAGCGACAGTTTTTCCTTTTCTCAACGTATATAAGTTCGAAAATATTCGCTATTTTTTGTGATGCTTTGAAAAGTGCAAAATATAGTATAGGAAATTATCATAACGGTTTAGAGCTTACGTGCCTTCATTCTTCTACGATTCCAACGATGGCTTATGCAAAGAATTCATTTATGGAGGTTGCATGGGAAATGGGAACCGTTTCGAAACAGCTAATGAATGTGCGAGCAGATGCTCGCATTTACAGCAAGTAAGTATTTTATAAGCTGTTTGAAGCAGATGTGAATCACATACATATTACCATCATCTTTCGTAGGTTTTCTTTCCAGAATTCTGCGTAGGGTTGAAATGAGTTTTCGGTGCCTGAAATTCGGAATGTGTTCTGGATTTTTTTTTTTAATTTCAACGCATGCATATAAACACAAAATTGAACCACGTCAGAAACAAATTGAAAAGCAACACTACACTATTCCACAAAGCGAGCGACAGAAATCAATAAATAGGTAAAATAACAAAATCACTAAAATCAGTAAGATCACCAGCCCACCAAAAAAGATGTGTCTAATCAAGAGCATGAAGAAAAATGAGATATACTAATGTATAAGACCTCAAGCGTGTCACTTGTTAATATTTTAGCAGAGCAGAATTTGACGATCCCTGAAAAGGTTCGCAGTGTAAGATTTCTGAAGGATCTGGCCTCGGAGAGAAAGACCGCTCTTCCCTAATTGTTGACGGAAGCAGGGGGAGAAAGATTGTGGATTCACAAACACTTTGCCTGTAACAAATTCAGGTGCTGTCAGGAGGTCAAATTTTCTTCTACATTGGAGGGACTACATGCCTAGCATTCTGTTCCTTGCAAACCCTCTTGGTATAGCGTTATAATTGAAAGTTAAGGCCCGAACTAATATCTTTCCATTAAAAATATTTTATCTTGAGAGGCTTTTATTCCACATAGTGGGACATTAGTAGTATCATACTCCTGCATAGGGCGAATGAAGGCTTTACAAGCCAATATGAGGAGGCAGGGGTCTTTGATATATATACTCCACCGCAACTAAAGGAGCCTTGACTTAACTTTATTTGTAATATACCACAAAGGGAGTCGGAACAGAATTCGCCATTAACTATGAAGCCCAAATTAGTGAATCGAATTGATCAGTGAAATAAATCTGTTGCACAGAATACCCGTGCGATGAGGTATTAATCTTCATGTAGTTTATTGATTGTACACAGAAAACAACGCGGAAAATTAATGTGAGTTGTCAGTATCATTTTAGGCTCTCTATAATGCAAAGCAATTCAGGCATACTAATTATAATCGTAATAACTATATTTATCATTATTTATAATTATTCATAATTCTGACTTTTTACTGTATAAAGCACTCATTACTTTTGCGTTTCATGTATGCGCCTTCCTAAAGTACAGAAGTATACTACGCAACATGACAGCCGTTATAGTTGAGACAGATTTCTGCGATACGGGGCTGGTCTTGTATATGGTTAAAATACATAGCTAAGAGCACTTGTTAATCGCCCAGGAAAGTTGTATCACTGGTGCACCACTGTAACTGTAGTGAGAAAAGAAAGGCTTGATTCTCGTTCTTTTTGTCTTTGACATCCTTACCTTTCCATTTCTTCTTTCATCCCTTTAGTAGTTGTACATTAGATTTTGAGAGTGACTATCAACTCTAACTGTGTCAGGCAACACAAGCAACGAGCCTTGCTCCTCTCACTGCGGCCTCCCTTCATCACAATGGGATTCCGGAACTAAAGCAAAGTGAGCAATATGGAGACGGACACATATCTCAAGAAAGTTATGGAGATGATGAGAATGACAGTGTTTTGCGCAAAATGGATTACGAAGAAAGGAAGGTGATAATTTGCAGTGCGTTAGAACATATCGTTTATTCATGCACTTGAGTACAGATGGAACTACTATAACCTCACCCCAAATTTATTCTTAATGCGATAGAGCAATACTTCTTGATGTAGTCTTTATTATGATTGTCGTTCGATTGTTGATTCCACCATTTGGCGTAATATGGAATCAATCATGACATCAAGGTTCAATCTAATTGTAAGCGTTACACATATCTTGAATTTTCAATATACATATATGTAGTGGTGCCTGTGCGCAAGTGGTTGATGAATTCTTTCATTCCAATTGGAGAGCAGTAAGAGATCAGCTTCTACAGGTAGCAATATTCTTATTTTATCCTGCACATCGCTGAACAGGTACCTACTTTGCCCCCCCCCCCCCCACGGGAACGACAACCGTCTGTTGCGTTTCCTAGGCTGACTTGTCACTTTATCATACTACGCATATACTCTATGTTGGGAAGTCCATGTACGTAATGCACTCTCATTCCTGCAGGTATTTATGAGCTGCTGATGTGGTTACATGTATGGGCCAGTTTGATACAAATTTCGATCTTTTTTTTGGAGGTGGTTGGTGGCGACTCGTCTCTCTTCAGCTTTGAGCCCTCCAATCAGGGTGATGCGATCTGCCTTGCCATATTCTCTTCACTTTGTATTAATCTTCTTGTTCTGTTCGTTTTAGTTTATTCTTCTCCCTGCTTGATGTTCTACTAATTCACGTTTGGTTCCGTCTGAGC